GTGGTAATATATCTACTTTATATAGTGGTAAATGCTATTTAGAACACATTATGCCAAATTCCAGTGCACAAGTTTACTTCAATTTTGTACCTGCTTTTCAATAAAAGGAGTTGGAAATTTCATGAAACATAATTTGGTAGAAAACACGCCACACATCGCATTTTACCACGGAGGAGCCAAATTAGAAATTTCATATAACGAAGCCAGAAACTTTTGCACAAGAGCTTCTGATTGTGGTGCTATTTATTCTGGAACACATTGGGAGTTTGTTGGCAATGAAATTAAAAACAATTACTTTCATGACTCTGTTGGATTTGGGAAAGAAAATTCATATATAATAGGATTGTATTTGGACGACAACTTAAGTCATCACAAAGTGTACCAAAATGTCGTTTCCAATATAGTTGGGATGTGTTTAGTCTTGGCTTCAGGAAGAAGCAACACTGTTTTTAATAATATTTTCTTCAACTGTAAAATAGGGTTCTCGGGTAATTCAAAGGGGGTATATAGGTACCACACAACACCAGGAATGTTTTATAATTTGCTTGATACAATGGAGAAAAGTGGAGTGGATAGGTATTCACCGCCATGGAGTGTTCAATTTCCAGAGTGGAGTAAATTGCCTCTAACATCAGATGAGTTGATGGAAGAACGGAATTTACATTGGCTAGTGATGGAAAACACGGATATATACTGTAATGTGTTTTCTGGAAGTTATAATATGGATTACAGATTTTTGGAAAATTGTGACAAATACATCAGAAGATTTGAGATGAACACCAACTCAAGTCAAACAACCACTTTTTATGATTATAAAAATGGCGATTTCAGAATGAGGAAAAACAGCGATATTTATAAATACAAATGTTGGAAGGAAATATCTTTAGAAAATATTGGTATTAACAAAGAAGACAAAACTGTTGACATTTTTGAAATATCAAGTAGTGTGGCTATATTGCTATTGTTAATTTTATAGTTGGATTTTTTTTATTTGTTTAAAAGCTTTAAATATTAATTTATAACATAAAGAAAAAACAGTTAAATCATTAAATTTGTCTAATAAACAAAAATGTCTGTATTTATTATATAAACTGTATTTAAAAAAACGATAGCGTAAAAAATTAAAATTTAAGTAATATTTCGGGAATGTTCAAACAAACCAGGGTCGGCCAAGATCCAGTTTTTAAACAACTTCGTGGCAATCTCAAATACGTGTCATTATTTATTTAGTTTTAGCAAATTGTAAATAAAAATACAAATAAAAAATTTTTTATTGTTAAAATGTTTTTAAAAAATTGGTAAAACTATAGTTAACGATTTAAACAAAATTTTTATATTGTTTAAATCATCATTTTAATGTGTTATAATCCAGTTTTAAAGAACAAAAATTGAACAGTAAAAAAGCATATGAAATGGTAAAATGCAAAGTTTTTAAAGTTAAATAACAATACTCACTCCTTATAATTGTTGTATACACAGAAGATACTAACAACCAATAAAAATTAATAGAAATCATTTTAGTAATTTCAACTTAAATTTTTTATTTAATCAATTAATATACTTTTTCAACATGCACATTAATATTAATTGTTAATGTCTGTATTTTTGTCATTTGACAAATGCATATTTGTGAATTTAACAAAGGTTTTGTATAGTTCATTTATGTCCTTTTTAATTTATAGTATAAATTAAACAATCAAATAGAAGTATTTTTATTATCTTTAGCAATAATACAAAACAAACAATGTTTTATTTTTCGAATGGAGTGAATTATATTACGTTTAAAACAGTAATACTTATCTTTAGTCTGTTTTCTTGATAAAAACGATAATTCATAATACGATAATAATCAATCAAAATAATTATTATCACCCAAATAAAAAACTATTATCAGAATAATTTTGAATAAGTTTTATTTGCATGTATAATTTATAATTGAAAGGTTTAGTGTACAATTAAATCAACACAAAAATATTATTATATGGTATTTAAAGTAATTTGAAAACAATTTGGTGTTTGAGATAAATTATAGTTTTCTTATTCATTTTATCTTTTGGTATAAATAATTGTGTTTTGTCATTTTCATTTTGTTTTTTAAAAATGATAATGTTAATTACAATTTTATTGTTTTTTAAGTTTTTTTTTTCAATAACACAATCGTTTGGCCGACCCTGAACAAACCAACCATCCTTTTATTTGGAAATTTTTCAATTTTGGTCTTTTTACTGGTCTCGTTTTTATTCACTAAAAATAGAATTTGTATTTTTTTACCTGTTTTTCCTTGTTTTATTGTCTCTTTTTACAAAGAAAAATTAAAATTTGGATTTAGAGTAAATTTTTGCCCAAAGATGTATCAGAAACAACATTTGTTTATTTTGTTTTAATTATAGTACAAAACAACAATAAAAATACACAAAAAAGATAAAAGAATCACAACCAAAAATAAACAAACACTTTTGAAAATTGTTTTTTACTAAAATAAACCAAATTCACTTCTAAATCGTTATTTTTGTTATTATTAAAAACAAATTTAAAATATTAATTATAAAAGAATAATAAAAGACATTAATGAAAGAGACAATTAAACAGACGTTTTTATGAAATTTACAAATAAAAAAAGAAACACAACTTTAAATATCAATGGAAGCGATTGATAAATTAATAATAAAATCACTTCAAAATGGTGATTCATATTCTTCAATCCAAAGTTTTTACAACGTTTCACCGAACCGAATATCAAGAATTAAGAAGGTATTGTCAGGAGAAATTGTAATTCCTTTAAACAAAAGAGGGAGACCAAGCAAGAGAACAGAGTTGGTATGTCAAATGGTTGAAAAACAAACCACTTCAAACCGGTAAAAAGACATTTGTCAACTTTGACAATTATCAACTAAGACATTTGTCAAAACCCTGAAATATTTTGTATTTATAACAATAAAATATATATTTTCTATAAATATTATTTTTATTTTATAATTAGAAAACAATGTTATTAATATTATAAAGTTGTAAAATACAAAACAACATACGTTTGAATAAAAATAGAAATTATCAAAAATATAATATATTGGTATAATTTGTGTGCATTTTACATATTTTTTATAAAAATAATATTTTAAATTAATTAAAATTAAATTGAAATTTATTTAAAATACTTGAAATTACAATTGTATATCATTTGTGTTGATTAATTTATACAAAAATAATAAGAATAAAAGATTTTTTTCAAAAATAAAACATCTATAAAAAGTAAAAATTAATCTTTTCATATTTTGTACTTCCAGCTAAACAATTATTTAATAATATATTAGATATGGGGTATTGTAAATAAAATAGCTGGAAATTGAAAATAAATACTATCAATTTAAATAAAAGATATTTTATTTTTGATAATTATTTTGGTGTCAATGTTTGAATGCATTTTAGATTTCAAGATGTTTGAACCAAATTAATATTTCAAATTAAACTCTATTTTTACAATTATACATTTATATATTTATAAACATATTTTATTTAAAATTTTGTTTATTTAATACATTTACAATTAATTTATTCAGATTTATTTCAAATGATGAAAGAACCTCTTCGCTTCTTTAAAGAACTCAATGATAACCCAAAGCGACATCCAGTATTGTGTATTGGAAAAATATGTTTCTTTCAACGTGCCAAATGGGACAAATCGAAAAATGATATTGTTTTTGAATGTGCTGGAAATAACTGTAATGTAACAGTACATGTAAAAGATAATGATTATTATATTGTTGGAAATCATACTTGTATTTTTGATCACGAACGTTTATTTTTGTCAAGATGTCGAAGAGAAGCCGCAGATATACAATTTGTTAAAGGTATAAGTGATACTCCGCGTGAAATAACAAAAAGAGTCATGACACACAATTTTTGTTCAAACATGTCAATAAAAGACCATAGATCAATTAATAAATATATAACCAGACTACAAGAAAGACTTCTTGGAAGTAACCCCAAAACAATTGAAGATATCAATTTCACGGAAGTTTTGAAAACCACATTGATACCTCAAAATGAGTCTAATCCAGATAACACTTTTTTATTTTATGATTTTTTCACTGAAACTCAAACACTCTCCAGATTTTTTATTTTTTCTTCTTGTACACAACGGCACATCGCCTCCAAGTCAGAAGAAGTGTTTGGTGATGGAACATATCGAATTACTCCAAACATAATTACATGTTTGTATACGTTACACTCCCTTATCGATAACACATGTTATCCAATTGCATTTCTATTACTTCCAAATGAGACAGAAGAAACATTTATTCGTGCTCTTAAAGTACTAAATCCCTTTTTAATCAATGTTAAAATTGTACACTGAGATTGTCAGATTTCAACAATGAACGCATTTAGTAAAGTATTGGGAGCAAACATTAAATTATGCTTGTTTCATTTAAATCAAGTGGTGTTTAGAATGTTGGGCAAAAAGGGTCTTTCTATAGAATATATAAAAAATGCCAAATTACATCTATGGGTACGGCGACTATTTGGACTACCTTTTCTACCAAAAGAAGAAATACACGATGCTTTCGAGAAATTATTCATTGAAATGTCAACATCTTTAGAATTTGGTGTACCTTCACATTTATTAGAAAAGTACAAAGAAGTTTTAAATTATTATAAAGATTTTTGGTTGAAAAAAATTGGGAATGAAAAATGGTGTCAATTTTTCACAAAAATAGGACAAATAATTTATGTGAAACATTTCATCATGCATTAGGTTTAGAGTTTCAAATTGCTCATCCAAGAATCGTGGTTTTGGTCGACATGTTAAGAAAATTGGATGACATGTGTAGGCAAAGATGGTTAGATATGGCAACTGGAAAACACGAAGTTGCTTATCGACGCGCAATTCAAGAATCAAGCAGAAAATTGAATATTACAATGGAAAGTTATCAAATGGAAAGTTTGAAAATCAACCGCAATATCTAGACGCAATTGGCAAGTTGTATATTGACTACAATTTTACAACAAAGGCATCAAGAAGAAATGTGTCCATTCGTGCATAAATGCATCACAAAGATTGATAAATGAAATGGATATTATAATGCAAGAACAACAAAATGTTACTTTTGATGAAAATGGGACAAATTTAAATGTATCAACTATCATCGAACCAAATTATCAACGTGAAATTTATTTTGAGTCAACAATAAAATCAATACACGAATACAATTCAACAGTACAATCAATTTTTGAAGAAAAAAGTGTTATTACATTGGAAAAAACAGAAGGAAAGATGGAAAATGACCGAAATTGCGCCAAAAGTGGCATTAATAATTCAAAGATAAAATCAAAGAAAACACTAAAAAGGAGAATAAAAAATTGACTATATATTAGAAATTGAACAAAGAAAAAAAACCTCGAAATCACAAGAACAATATTGATTAATTTAGTTTTCTATTAAAATAAAAAGCAATTTTAAAAATAAATATTCAATTTACATAATACAATAATTATGTTTTATATAATATTTTTTATTATGTTTGAAATTTGTTATGAATATATACAATATATTAAATTTCTAATCAGAAAAATATAACAATTCAAATAATTAAAATGTAAATCACATTTATTTAATAAGATAAACATTAAATTAAAATTAAAGTTGTTTAAAATAATATTATTAAGTATACAATTCGTTGATAATAACACCTATTAACTATATTTTTATAATTTCTATTTTTATTCAAACGTATGTTGTTTTGTATTTTACAATTTTATAATATTAATAACATTGTTTTCTAATTATAAAATAAAAATAATATTTATAGAAAATATATATTTTATTGTTATAAATACAAAATATTTCAGGGTTTTGACAAATGTCTTAGTTAATAATTGTCAAAGTTGACAAATGTCTTGTAATCCTAAAACCCATTTCAACTTGTCATGAATTGGCACAAGCCGCAAAAGTTTCAAAGTCGACAATTTATAACATAC